ACCTGGCACTCAGCCAACAGCCTCCCCAGAGCCCTCCTGGACTGAAAACTAAGGTTGAGTCTCTTTCTGCCCATGCTACCGGGAGAGAGCTCTCTGAGGTTGATGCAGCCAGCTGGGCCCTGGTGCATTGGAACACAGTCCCCTGCGGCCCTGACCCCCACTGTTCTGCACTTCACCCCTGCTTCTTGCCTCCTGAGCCCTGGTGCTTTTCTACTGGCCAGCCCATGCCCCTTTGGCTTGCCAAGTGTCCACCTCCAAGCCCTATCCTGAGCAGGCCCCAGCCAGCGCAGGTTGTGTTGGTTGCCATGGCTCGCCAGAGCAGGCAGTGGCACCAGTCAACAGCACAGCACCTGCTCACATGACCTGCGGGGCCTGGCCTGGGGCCTGGCTTCAGAGCAACTGCCTGCCCGCTGTCACTCACGTCTGTTCAGTTCAACTACCATTTCCCAAGTTCTTGCTGACCCGTTCCCTGGCTCTCACCAGCTCCTGGGCAAGTTGGTTGACTGGCCTCCAGACCGATGGATTCTTTCATGAGGAAGCCGGGGCATTAGCCCTCGGTAGCCAGATGAGCCCAGCCACAGAAGCACGTTACATGGAGCCCTTCCCCAGTCCTGCTGAGGAGTGGTCCTTGGCTGTGCTCTCCCTTCCCTGGTCCTGAGCACACCTGGTGAGCTCCTGGGTGCTACTATACATTATAGGTAAAAGCCCATGTGGAAACGCAGAAATGTGCCAAGTTGCAACTTTTTGGAGTACTTTTCATAGATACTATAAAATAAATCTATTTCAACCCAGAGGGGACTTATCCAAGGTCACACTGAGTTAGCAGCAGAGACAAGTAGAATTAGGTCTTGTGACTGTTGGCCAGTGCTTGCTGCCCCCCTCCCCCCACTTCCATAGGAAAATTCTGGTGCTCTTCATAGAAACACACTTAGGATATTCCAGGAACGAGGCCCCAAGCTAAGGTGCTTTACATATACCACCGAACTTCATTCTCACAATTGCCTTGAAAGTCAGGCCTGCTTACCTGCTGGGGCTCAGAAAGGTTAGGTCATTTGTCCAAGGTCACACAGCTAGTAAGGAGGAAGGATCAAAGCAGAATCAGTTCTGTGTTCTTTCTATTCAGTTTCCAGCATTTAACCATTTAAGATGCAGCAATAGAAGCAAAGAATTTGGCTGGCTAGTTGGTTCAGTTGGTTACAGCATGGTGTTATAACCCCAAGGCTGAAGAGTTCAGATCCCCGAACTGGCCAGCCACCGAAAAAAGAAACAAAGAATTTGAGAGCTGGAAAAGGTAGCCACTGGGGAAGTCACCCAGTGCTACTAGCTCATTAAAATGGTTAAAGCTCCATCAGACCCAGGGCCCTGACTCCCCCCGATGAGGTCTTCTGCAGCATTTCTCCTCACAACCAGAAGGTAAAGCCCAATCCGGCTCCAATCCCGGGGCCCACAGGCATGCAAGCTCACGAGCAAACACAAGCCCAGACTGCTGGGCATGCGCTCCTTTGCTGGTGGTGTCAATTTCCCTTTCTTCATCCGGTCTCTGCTCCAGTTAACTCCCTGTGTCTTTATCAGAAAATTTAAGGTCATTTCGAAGGCAGATATGGGACAGCTGACATTGGAAGCAACTGCCCAACAGTCGCCCCAGGAAGCCGTCTCCATCACATCTGCCCTACTGACCTCTCTGGCAGGTCCCTCCCGCTCCCTCCTCATCAGGAGCTTCCCAGACAGTTGTTTCTTTGCGCCTGAGGTAGGCCTATCAACCTGCCCTGTTAAGGCAGAGTCACATCCACGACCCAGGCCCCACCCCAGCTAAGGGGTTCCTCAGCTCCTGGATGGAGTTGGGGTGTTTGTGGGATCAGAACCTTGTAAAACCAACCAGCAACTTGGTCTAAGGCAGAGGCTGGCCACCTCAAACCGACCTGGAACATGCAACATGCAAATTACAGGCCGAATTTAGAACAGGAAGGGCAATGCAAGTCAGTTCTACCCCACGACCTAACGCTCAGGGCCGTTGTGCACTGGGAATAGAAAGATAAGAGCCTCCTAGAGAAGTGACTTTCAATCCAGTTCATATATTGAGCACCAGTCTGTGCAAGGCTTGGGATACTAGCTGTCTGCTAACAACTGCAGCCCAAAATGCTGCTGTTAACTGGGTGTGGCCTAAGCTGATTCCTCAGGCTTTCACTTAACCAGCCTTGATGGAGCAGTTCTTTGTAGGAGGCCAAGAGCTATTGGGACCAAGTAGCAACCAACACAATCGAATGGGGAGAGGTAACCAGGCACCCAAACCAACACGTAACTCCAAACTGTGATACTATGAAAAAATAGATGGGGTGAAGGGAGAGGAATAATGGGGAGGGTAGAATTGCTCAGCTAGCGGGTAAGGGAAGCCTCTTTGTAGTGATGATATTTAAGCTAAGACCTGAAGTGAGAGAAGGCACTGCTGGAGCAGAAACAGAAAGCAAGGGAAAAGTATTCCAGGCAGAGGGAAGAGCACGTGCTAAGGCAATGAGGAAGGAGGAGCTTGGTGTGTTCTCAGAGATACAGTGGGCTGTGTGGGTACAGAGCAGTGAGTGGGGTTGGGTAGCAAG